AAAGTTAACTATAACCGAATAAAAGGAGCCGGCCAAGAGGCCACCTTAACACCAAAAAAAAAAAAAAAAAAAATTAATATGTAGATTTAAAAATACTAAGTAATTCTATGTTTTATACAGTATATATATTGTAAGTAGAAATAGAACTATAATAGAGTTTAAAATTTACTTAGATTAGAGCAAAATAATTAATAATAATAATATCCTGATCTGTTAGAACATATAAGCTAATTTCCAATTATTGGGCTCTGAATAGAATCACTAAATTCAGTTTAAACCCCTTGTTTAATTGTTTTTGATTAGTCTAATGCATTGTTAGGGTGATTGATTTGATTTTTCAAAGGTTTTTTTTGCACAATTATGCAAAAAAAATATAATGAATATGCATTTAACCTATTAGATTATCTTAAAACCTATTAGATTATTATCTAATTATTAGCCTAAGCTTACTAAGATATGCTGTTTGACTTTGTTATTGTTATGAGTAAATGGTCAAAATAAACTTTTTGCCTCAGTTATTCAGACAATTGTATTATTAAACGATCTGACCCACTATAAAAAATTTTTAAGATACAGAGTTTTTTCTTTTGCATTATTATATATACAGTATTAGCCTATATGAATTAGCAAAAATGAAGTTTCCACCTATTTACATATAGTCAGGGTATTATTAATCCTCATGTGATCTTGATATAGTGATCGGGGATTATACTAAAAATCCTAACCTTAACCTTAAAAATTCTGAATCAACTTAATTGCAAATCCGTTAGCCAATAAGTGAAAATGATCGACATCGAATAAGAAATCATGACGCGTATTTAATTATACAAATATTCGCGGTTGTAAATGTCAAAACCAATTCTAATAATTTAATAAAACTATAAATAATATGTCTCATAATAGTGTCTCATTGCTTGCGGAAGGCTTAATATATCCCAAACTGCACTACGGTCCTTATGCCCGTGATTGGTGGTCACCTCGACCATCTAATGATAAAGACATTTCAGTTTCTGTCCTGTATCGACTATATATGCATATTAGTTTTGTTCTTAACCAGCATCAATTTTTTATTAGGGTTGTTAAAAGTGAAGAAAACCAATTACAGCCTGGGTTTATTTGTGTTAGTGGTAGTGAAA